ACTCAAAAAGATCCGCCTGCCTCTGCCTCCCGAGTGCTGGGACTAAAGGCGTGTGCAACCACGCCCGGCTTAATTTTATACTTTATAAAGCATTAAAATACAAGCTTTGCATTTTTTTTCCCTGTGATTTTGAAAATTTTCTGATAATCAACATTAGCATATTTTCTTGTGTAGCAATTCTAGCTTTACTACCAAATTACCAGTTTTTATTTTAAAATTCCAATTGATTCCTCACTTCAGGTTTTACAGACATTTCACCAGAAGAGTTGAGGCTTGAATACCATAACTTCTTAACCAGCAATAACTTACAGAGTTATGTAAGTTTGTTTTCTATTCCTCCCTCTCATAACTAGCCATCAGTTACTGTTTTCTGTGTTTGTAGTGGCTTGCTTGTGTTTTGGCAAAGTTGAAGACTATTAATGTTTTGCAAGTCAACACCTTTTATTCTAGACTATTCTCTTTGAAATTGTTTAGTTTGTCTTCATTGATGAGGAGATATAAACTATAATAATTTGGCTTATCATTTTTATCATGTTACCCATCAACCAGTCCCAGAAATCATACCTTTTCATCATTTGTAGATATTATTGAGCTCTGTTAGGTGCAGATCCCATGATGAATACAAAAAAGAGAAAAAAAAATCAAATGAAATAAGCTGCAGTTTGCTAAACAGATTAGCATCTTCACATATCAAATATCAAAAAAAGAAGTCAGAATAAGTTCTTCACCTGAAAGAAATGATATTTTTCTGTTGTCTGCAGTCAGGATCATGCATTTCAGCTACTAAACATAATTCACCTGCCCAGATAGACATAATTCACCTGCACAGATAGAACCATCTCTGCACTGCCAGGTGCTTGACCAAGCAATACCAGGAGTTAGTGAGAGAGAGAGCAAATAGAGCTGGAGTGTCTTCAGCAACAGGAGCAGGTTTAAACATTCAGTACTGAGCTGCTTTTGTCTTCTCTCTTCAGCTAAACTCTGTTCAACAGTTAATAAGTCAATGGAAGAATAGGATAAATGAACTGAAAAATCTCAACATGTCAACCAAAGTAGCTTTGGTGAGTATTGGAGTTTTCTTCAGAGAATTACCTTTTGTTTTGTTGGTTTTTGATATAAGAGCTCACTGGGCTATATAGCCTGGGCTATCCTGGAATTTACTGGGCTGGTTCTGAAGTCAAAGCAGCCCTCTTGCCTCAGCCTCCTCAGTGATGGAATTATAGGCATGCAGCATCATGCCTGGCTTTCTACTGCCTTTTTTTTTTTTTTTTCCAGAGGATGTTGTACTTTGGATTTGAAGGGCAAAAAAAAAATTCTAGACAGTTATGACACACATTCTCAAGATGTTGTCATTTAGAGTTGAAGTCCTGGAACTGTTTCTGTCTATTCCTCAGAAAGGCAGGGACAAATATGCTTTTTAAAAACTATTTTTGGGGTAAGGTTTTTAACTTGGGTAGTAGTAAATTTTTTAAGATTTATTATTTTTAATTATGTATTTGTGTCTGCATGTAGGTACGTGCATGTGAGTGCAGGCGCCTGCAGAGGCCAGGGGTGTCAGATAACCCCCAGAGTTACAGGCAGTTGTGAGCTAAGAACCAAACTTAGGTCCTCTGCAAGAGCAGTACAGGCTTTTAACTGCTGAGCCATTTCTCCAGCCCCATAGTACTAGTTTTGAAAATTGAGAACTATTATGCAAATTCAGATACTTAAGGATATCTGTGTTTCTTTCACTTTGCAGTTGTGTAATGCCATTTGAATCTACCTGGAGTTCTTGGAAGTATTCTGACCCTAGTTTAGAGTTGGCCCCAATCACCATTAATGAGAGCTAATAGAAAAGGAACTGGAGAACTTCCCTCCAGGGTGGACATTTCTGCCCTTTGCTAATTCTCATTCATTCTCTCTCTCTCTCTCTCTCTCTCTCTCTCTCTGCTGGTCTGAGACAACCCATCCTCAGCTGGTTTTAGCATGTATCAGTCATTCATTCATTTATCATGAATAGTAATCCACTGTATCAATATATTGGAATTTGTTTAATCATTTACTTATTTACCTATTAGTGAATATTAACTGAGAAAGAGAAGGTAGGCTGGAAAAAAAAAAAAAAAAAAAAAAAAGGAAAAGAAAACCCACTTGTCTGCCTTTGTGAAACTAGAAAGAGCATGCACTCTCTACAGTGATAAGCAGATGAGCAGTCATCAGACCAGGAGTTGAGGAAAAGGGTGTTGGCTGCCTGGGAAAGGGATACAAGGAACTTTTAAGGTAATAGTAACGTTCTGGATTTTTATAGAACATGGTGGTTATAAGTGTGTCAAAAATCACTGAAATATGTACATAAAAGGAATGTATTTTATGTGAACTAGATTTCAATAAAATTATTGTTGTTATGTTTTAAGATGCTGTGGTGCTTCTAAGTGAGAGAAGCTCTCGCAGCTTGTTTTGATTAGAAAGTCTATAAGAGGAGTCAGTGAAAGGCTTCTTGACAGGGAAATAAAGATTTCAATGAGCAGAGATGAAGAAGCATAAAATATTTTTAGAGAATAGGAATTGTATGATGGATTTTAATAGTAAGCTTTTTTTTTTTTTTTTTTGGT